CCTGAGGCCTGCAGCGCCCTCGTCCCTGGTGTTTCTGGGAGTGTGGGTAGTCACATACACGTCTCTGTCCCTGGACAGCTCTTCATCGTCACTGCTCACCACACAGCTGTCAGCATGGTCCTGGTGTAGCCTCCTAGCATTCCTCCTTGGTCTTCTCCTTTCTAAGGTAAGAAGTCACATTTTCACGTTGGAGGCTCGCTGCTCTTACCGTCCTCACCACCCCCATCATGATGCCTCTAAGACCCTCTTCCTTCCTTGCCTGGGACCCCCAGAGAGAAACTGCTGCTGTGCTCAGCTATGCCCCAGAAGGTCCTGCCCTGCTCTGGAGGCCACTGTGCTATCTTCCCAGGAGAAACCCCCCAAGCCCTGTTGTGAGCTGCTGGCCTTCTCCAAAATCTGGTGGGCCACAAGGCAGGATGTAGCTCAGTGCTCAGTGATAGGGGTGAAGTTTTTCTGGCAGGCACAAGGGGGACTGACTGTGTGGGTCTGACCACAGTGTTTGCGTTGGAATCTTCCTGCTTGGAGTGCTCCAAGCCCTTGGGTATAGTCTGGCAAGGCCTGCAGCACCTCAGCTCTCACCTATGCCAGTTTTCTCTCCAAACCCAGGGAAAAAGGAGACAAAACCACTCACCGTCAACAATCTTGTAAAAAGGAAGAGAAAAAAGAGAAACAAGCAATCAGTTTGATATAAGTGATAAATGAAGGCATTTCTTTTTTCTGATATGTGACACCCTCTGCAGAATCCTCTGGTGGGCAGCAGAGGCCCCCCCACTCTTCTCCCACCTGCAGAGAATCTGTGCACCTCTCCCATTCAAGCCCATTTTCCAGGTCACTCCACCTCCCAGCTGATAGGCTGTGCCCGTCCCCATTGGGTGTTTAGTGGGGTCTTTGGGAATATGAACACAGCCAGCCACAGCCACACCATGTGCTGGCTGCAGGACCTGGGGACTATCTGAGGGCTGCAGCTTCCTCTTCTGGAAAACAGAGGCACCAGAGCCCATGTCTGACCAAGCTGTTGTGAGGATGACATGAGGCAGTGAACATTCAGCACAGCACAGCACGGGGGCACCATGCTCTCTTGTGCTGACATGGCTCATGTCAGCAACTACCAAGGTGGAGCCTTGATGTGGAGGAGGATTTGCATTGCTCGGTAGGCTGTTACAAATAACTAACAAAGAAAAGCAGGCTACGCATGGACCAATGGGTGTGACAGACACCAAGGACTGAGATCAACCCAATTCTGTGTCCTGGGGGCCTAAGAATAGACAAGACTAAAAACTTGACAAGCCTCTCACCTGCCAGCTCAGAACTTACATTTAGACGATTTCTGCTCCAACAGTTTCAAACTTGGTTCCTCCTGCCTTCTGGCAAAGCGCTCTTACCCATCTAGGGAGGCCAGTAGAACACCCTTTCCCTCTTGCTCAGCATGTAGGAGGGACTGCTTCAGGAAGGTTCTCACTGCCTAAGCCCTACTGCTCACCTCACTCGCCTGTCCCCTGGCAGGACATCCTGCCCCACAGTGTTAAGAAGCTCTCATCCTCTACTCTGACTCCCATGTAGCCAGGATCCTGGATGTGAATTGGGTACCCTCAATCAGACACACTTGTGCTACTGGCAGGGCAGGGGTGGAGGCTGATTTGGGCTGCCATGGATGCTGGCACTGGCAGGCAGAGCTGCATCAAGAAGAAATAGTTCTGGAACAGGCTGCTATGTCTCGAGCCCAGGCCTCTCCTCCCTAGAAAGGATCTGCAGTAGTATCTACCTGAACCCAAAGATATTAGTGCAGGGGGTAGGCCCCGCCTCCAGACCATCTTGGAGCAGACATAGCAGCTCCCTAGGTGGGTCAATGCTTTGAGGTCAAGAGTTATTCCTGGAGACCCAACCCAGTGATTGCTCATTTAGGATTCTCCTTCCATGTTAAAATCCACTAAGCTTAGGAATAATTAGACTGGATTTTCCCAAATGGCATCCTGACATACACAAATGGCCATGCAGGCAGGATGCAGGCCTGAGTATAAAGGTCTTTGATTTGTGGTAAGAATATAATCCACACGCATGGAGCCACTTAAAAGTGTTCCCCTTGACTCTCAGAGGAGACTGCAGAAGGTGACAAATCTGGGGACAGTCAACCTCATCATCAGGACCAATCTTAGCAGGGCTGGCACAATGTACTGTCCACATGAAATCTAGAAAAAGAGGATCTGGTAACAGCTCTGGCCCTTGGAAGAAGCCCTGGATTTAGCTGGGAGCAGAAGGAAATTCTTCTGTGGGTAGAAATGGCCTCAGCTTTCTACAGCTCCAATATGCCCCTACCCTCTGCCAAGATGGCCCATTAATTAGGTATGGACACCTGGAAGGAGTATGACACCCCCCCGGCCCCCAGCAATGAGAGTGTGCGTATGGTCTCCTGTGAGTCATACCCAGTTTCCCCCTTGGGAGGTGCAAACTTAAGCCTGTCCTGAGCACCGGGCCCAGAGGTTGCTGGCAAACAACAGGTGATACACACACAACTACTGCGCTATAAGAACAGGGTGGCCAGAATGTTTCCTCACTGGTAACAATTCTGACTGTGTCTATTTTCAATGAGAGAAAAACAGCTTACAGATGAGGCTTCAGTGTAAGAATGATACCACAGGCCAGGCGCAGTGGCTCACACCTGCAATCCCAGCACTTTGGGAGGGTGAGGCAGGCAGATCACTTGAGGTCAGGAGTTCAAGACTAGCCTGGTCAACATGGTGAAACCCTGTCTCTACTAAAAAAAAATACAAAAATTAGCTGGGCGTGCTGGCGAGTGCCTGTAATCCCAGCTACTCAGGAGGCTGAGGTAGGAGAATCTCTTGAACCTGGGAGGCAGAGGTTGCAGTGAGCCAAGATCGCACCACTACACTCCAGCACAGTCTGGGTGACAGAGTGAGACTCCGTCTGAAAACAACAACAAAAACA